TGGCATTGATCAATGGGACTAGCTCCCATTGTCTCCACATGACCGGTTTGTTTGGCTGCTGTTGATTGGCCAGTGCATCAAAGGGCATCAGTCTTTTACACCTGATGCACTGTGCTGCATCTGGCAGGGTTAAAATTAATGGAAAAATGAGTTGTGAAGTTTCATTACTGAATATTCATGACACTATGACTGTTGTCCAGCAATTGAAACATTTCCCGGTCAACTTTACCACTCAGATTGTGAGCGACACGCAAGACGATCTCACCGTAAGTTCTGATGGGCTGGTGGAGTTTCTCAGCAGCGATGTTCTAGATTTGTCCTCTAAACAACTGCAGGCTGAGGCGAGAGACATTCTCCTGACATCGGTGAGCCAAGTTTGGAAAATTGAATCAACAGTCGCACTTGTCAAAACTAAACTGATATTCTTGTCATAGATCAGAAGCTTGAAAATTGCAGTTGTAATGATCTTAGGGGCACCAAAACCTAACAAGTGGAATTTAACCCAAATTACCCACCTAACCATTTCTGTTCTCTGCAGAGGTCAACACTCATACTAGACAGCAGTGCAGGCACATTCCTCAATGCTACGTTGCTGCCCAAAGCCAGCACCAGTGTAGGCAACAGACCCAAAGCTTCCGTTTTCAAGCTGTGCGCGTGCAAGACTTCAGGCCGGATATTCCAAGTGAGGGTGCAATCTAGCGTGCAACACCCGTGTGCTAATTTGGCCAGTGACTTCAACCTGTGCACTTAACTGCTCACTGCCTGTGTTAAGGCCAGTTCATACTCGATGCGAATGCAAACATAAATGTGAGGCACGTATGTTCATGCCCCTCACTTTAGTTGGTGTGCATGCGCACTGAATGCCACTACAGCGCCAGAAGCCAGTAAAATGGGTCTTGACTCGGGCAGGTGGACCCCAAAAGTAATCGATCAACATCAAGCTCAGATAAAGTTGTTTGCCCTTCATTTCCATACCGATTAGTATTTCAACACTGAAAGTCCCTTTTGCTAACTTGCACACGATAAAAATCTATTTTCTGCCAAATTTTTGCCTGTCTTTGTCTCGTGCCTCCAAAGTAAGAGAGTCAGAAGTTGGAAGTGAAGCCAACATTTTAGAGGGGATTTTTTCAGTTTTGCCGAGTTTTCCCTGACATTTTTCTACTTGTGAATGGTGAAGAATATCATGAACACTCTAATGAGAGAGTATCATGCAAGAAGGAAACCGTATGAAAGTTTTTGTTTGTCCCTTTTAGTCAGGCAATTTGCCGTGATTGTACGTGTTTGTGCAATGCAGTAGGTTAACTTGTACCCATACGCACTCGTATCCAGGGATGTGTACGTGCCTAAAATCAGGACATCTCATTTTTGACAGCTGCTAAACTTAGTGTGGAAATTTAAATCCGCATGAAAAACGAACTGCATTTCAGAAAAGTGGCTCTTGATCTTGAAAAAAATGAGCTGATAGATACAAAAAATATCAGTCTTCCAGACAGTATCACCGATGATCTGAGGGGAATTTGACAAAAGTGTGAAAATCCAGCACTAGGTAAGGTGACAAACACGGAAAATGACGAAAATGGGTCCCAATGAAAAACGAAGTGAATTTCAAACAACGGTTTTCTTCCTAGCAGTAATAACCTTTTTTATGCATAAGAGTTACTAGTCTTTCATGTGGCATCAAAGTTATTTCAGGGTAAACTCTGCAAACTTGGGAAAATTAGACACAAATTTGAGTAAAAGAAACGATTTTCTTCCTAGCAGTAATAACCTTTTTTGTACATAAGAGTTACTATAAGTCTTTCATGTGGCATCAAAGTTATTCGAAGGTAAACTCGGCAAAATTGAGAAAATTGGACACAAAGCTACATGTAGGTAACAAAATGAAAATATTTCATAATCATATTTTGTCAAAAAATTGACATTTTCCACTTTCTTTGATTTTTTCCGGCGATCTTTTTCCCCAGAAGCTATTATCACCATTTGATAGACTCGTGGCAATTTATTCACACGCAAGGTCTTCAAGGGGAATAGCAGTACTATCCCCCACATGGGTCACCACTGATATACGTCGTCTGCTAGAATAATTTTTTCAGGCCGACGACCATGATGTCAGTCTGCACTATTGCACATGTGCGAATACACAAACTAAATGCATGCACGGTCTGTGGGGACCAAACATACGTGGAAGTTGTGACGTCAGATCAAAATGCTCATGCTGTGAATTCACAAAAGTGGAACATGTCAGCTTAAATTTCACTGTAAAGATTTTCTGAGGTCAAATTTGCTTCACCTTCGGGCCTGATGTATGCACTGGCCCAAAGTTGATATTCAGTCGTAAAATAATCCAAGCATTACTGTTATCCAACACCTGAGTACAGTTTGAGTTCGGCGTTCGTGCAAAAGCATAAACGTGTTTGTTTTGTGCATATTCAGACGAAAAATTCTTGCACTTCACATCACACATGTGCACCAATTAGTGGAGGCTTACAATTTCTTAAGTAACCGGGGGTGTGAGAATGCAGCTTTTTAGCTGATTTCAGCATTTTTTGAAGATGCTGACCCTGAATTTCAGGGTTTTTTTTTGTACACCTTGTATGTACACAATTTTTTTCAGCTTTAATTTAAAGTGACCACTCACACCCCTGGTAACTTTGTTGTTCAAACCTTGGTTTTTATTCAGAAACATACGGCTCATCTTTGAGCAATAATTTTATTACAGTTCGTATCATGGCTTACAAATTTTATTTTCTCTGGGCTGGTTTGATCAAGGCCCACTCAATTAAAGACCAATGACATCGTTCTTTCATACCTGTGTCATCATGGTTTATTGTAAATACCTTTTTTTCTGTTCAGTGTAACTTATTTGAACAAGTCTGCATGAATAATTTGTTGCACTGTCTTAGAAAGTTTCACAAATGCATTAGTAAACAGACAAAGAAGGTATGTCACCTAGCAGGGCCTGTGAAGCCTGGTTTCCATATGGTCATTTGTAGTGCAACACCCAAAAAATTAAACAAAATGGCGTTCGAAACTCGGACAATTTCCCCCCCCAAAAATGCCTTTTTTTAGGGGCAATGTTGCCTCTTGAAGCCAAACTGATACTCCAGTTAGATGTAGTTTGTTTATGGTAAGCTATTTTGTTGACAATTAGGGCTGCATGTTTTAGTAATAAGGAGAAAATTGACAAAAGGAGTGGCACTAAGGAACATTGTATGCCAGTCATGCCAGCGTGTGTGATTCTATAGGCCTACTCAGCAACTTGACGCAGTCAGGCGTCAAAGTTGAATTGGGCTCAACGTCTGGGACCAGTTTGCGTTTGTGGCGACATGTCCGTTTGACATGGTTTCCATTTGCCAGTTCCAGTTTGCATTTTGATTGCGTTGCTCTCTGTGTTTCTCACGCTGATACGGAAACCACGCTTTATTGTATGAAAAAAGAGCAAAGGTCACTCCAGTCCCTCCAAACTTTAAGCTTTGCAACTTGGGTGAAAATTGTTACATCCGTTTTCTCAGTGTTATTTATTGACGAAGTGTGCAATGTTTTATAATTCAAAGTTACAGTTTTTGTGTTTTTAAGTAAAGGTAATGTAAATCTATCCATCGTCTTGGCTAATAGTCAAGACAGTTGCAAGTAACAATAAATACCAAAACAAAAGTGAATTTGCCTAATAGTCTAAGAAAATGTTTGTAATTCTAAAAACCACCAAATTCTGTCAAAACCTCACACCTTGTTTTGATAGATTTTGACAGACTTGGGACTACACGTATACAGCTCACGGTGTGTCACTCAACACAGGGAATGACAGCTCCTTGTAGGTTGAATACATACCACTGGACAGCTGGGGTGTTGGAATATGATGGTTTCAGGAATAGCCTATGGCAACTTTAATCCAGGACACTTCTATTTCAATTTTTCTTTTCATTTTCAAACTTTTGTCTTGCAAGACACAACCAAGCTATTGTGTTTGATTTGGTATCGCAAACAAACCTGCAACTTTTCCAAAACCTTTTAATGGAGACAACGGTTTAAAGAAAACCTCTGATGAAACAAAATGTCGCGTGTGATAATGAAGAATACAACATGACCCGTTGCTATGGTGTCCCTGGTGGAAACTGACGGCAAATGCAGAATTCAATGGAGACTCGGTCATCCCGACAGTCTTCATACTTTCGGTATTGGGAAACTTGCTTCAGCTGAAAAGGAAACAAAAAAAGCAAGGCCTCAACAAAGGAAACAGTTGATGAGTCAGTGTGTGGGGGATTTTGTGGGGAAAGGTTATTGTTGGATCCTGAATGGCTCACAGCCAATCAGCAATGGCAGCCCTGTGGACTGGGTAGAGACACTTCTCATGCCACTCGTGCAGCAACAGAGAAAAAACTGACAGGATTTTGAAGACCAAGTTGAAATATGGTGACCAGCTAATACAATGATCTGGCAATGTTAATGAGAGAACTTGTGTTTTGCCTTGCCATTGAAAAAGTTGTCTTCAGTCTGGGAGCTGCTAGCGATCTGCTGTGTTCAAATATGCCATTTCGGCAGAAAAAGCAGCACCACGCTGACGACCTGAGAGGTATCAGCTTCAAAATGTTGATTTTACATGACAGGCAGATATTGTAATTCTTGATGAAAGCCTGGGCTGATGAAGCCAATTTGAGCAAGTCTGAACATTTTATGAGTTTGAGTATTCTATCGTTCCACATCTGTGCTACTCACCGAGTCAACAGTTGCTTTGTTATCGATCGTTGTTTGCCAAACTGATGGCCCTTCGTTGGATGTGAACGTGATGTGGTAGTAAGCTGTGAAGACGCCGGCGTATTCATGCTCATAGGCTGCAATGCTGGTGACGTTAGCTAGCTTGATGTCCATGCAAGTTGTTGTGAGGTTATTGTTGGTGGGATCTTGTTTCAGTAAGGCATCCTGTCGAGATCAGACACAAACATTTTTAAGGCTCTGCTGACCAAGCCAAGTGTTGTTTAATGCTTAAAGCTCAGCTTAGAGAGAGTCGGATACATGTACCAGCCCATTTAAATAAAAGGGACAGATTATTTTCGCTTAGCAGTTTCAAGAAATTGGACTGAGATTTGACAGAACATCTACAATTTATCCTCACTCAGTGTGAGGCCAACTTAAATGTATATTTAGATAATACAGGCAAGAGCTGTACATTGGGAGATGTGACATGAGGATGTGCATGACATGGAGAAAGATGCCATTTTGTTCCCCAAATGGTGGGTTGCTATGGGTGGGGTTACACAGCCCTAATTGAGCAGAAAATGGTTGCCAATTATAATGTTTCAAGGTATTAACAATCAACAGGCCAAAGCTGGAGATGACTGATCATTTCACAAGTAAGCATGCACGTGGACTCTGGAACCAAAATGGCTTCTAATCTGAAGTAGTCACAACTTCATCTACAAATGTTCAATATCCTCATTTGTTCTCACAAATTTGAGGTTTTGTCGCCAATCTTACAATTACCTTTGAGTGTTTCTGGTTGATCTCATCTACAGCTGCCTTTGCTAGTGAAAAATGTTCGTCTGTCCATCTGTCTTGTGTCAAAAACTAAGGGAAAATTCACACAACAAATATCAGATTCATGTATCCAAGATTAAGATATTTGCCAAATCATTTTTCGTATTTACCCTAGCCATTACAGGTCCTTCAAAATCCGCCAGGAGGTTTTGAAGGATTTTGTTGGATTGAGGATGGCAGAGTCCTAGAGTCCAGGAAATTACTTTATAAAGTGTTGAAAGTTGAATACAAAGAATGTGCCATTGGTTTCATGCAGTCATACAGTTGAGCATTAATTAAAAAAGAACTTCATAGACACACAACCTTTGGACCGCCGCAAACACAGCTCCAATACGGTATGTTGGCACCACTGCAAGTCCTCGATCTGATTGGATAACAGAGATACACTGGTGACATCTCAGACTTCCTTTTTTCCACTCTCTCATGCTAACCAATTCCCACAAAAATCCAACACAGATTTTGTGGGATTTTGATGGAACAAGGACTACCGCACAGCTTTATAACTTTATCTATGATGCGCTGTTGCAACTTTGTGCAGGGAATGTACCATTGGTTCCCCACAGCAAAGGATTTTAGAAGATTCAGGAGGGTTGCAGGCCATAATGTACGTCATTTTGCTGACTACATGTAGACCATGTTTAACACAAATTTACATTTCCAAGGTTTTTGCATAACCGTCATTAAGAAGGCTATACTGCAAAAATTACTATTAATTTTGTTGATTTTTAATATTGATATAGATAAATGGCATTGCTATGAAACAAAGAGTATGAATTTGTCTGGATTGCGACAAACCTTGCTACAACCTGGGTAAAGAGATTGTAGGAGTGCTTGGAGAGATGTCCGGATACATTGTGCAAGGCTGGGTAGTGAAGGAGAGATTTCATGGTGTGATGAAGATCATAGTGAACCTGTGTGGGATGGAGAAGAGCACTGTTGAGGCTGTGTCCAAATTGTGTGCCTATGGCTAGGTCTAGGTCTTCCCTGGTTGTAAATACACAGGCACAAGCTGACAACAGACATTTATGGCTATTGACTTCTCTGTAGACTATGGCTCACAACTGTGCATGGTACTACGTCGTGTGTTCATCAGAAGAGTCCAGGAGGACGTATTACATGTACACATATGCAAAGGGTATGATTATGCAAATTCATATTTTGTTTGAATGTGCACAAAACCTTAGTATCTCTCACAAGTGTAATGTCCTTAGCACACAATGGCAATGTTATTAAAATGTCCACCAATTTAATGCTAATAAATTTAACCAAACCCAAGGCATGTGACCAATTCATTTTTAAGGCAAACAACAAGACTTGAATGGTGTAACAATCACAGAAAAATCTTTCTTTGACTTACTATATATCTCTGACTGTTGATCAGTAGATTTCTCTCCCAGTCAGGGTGTTTCTCCATTACGTATCTAGGGACAATTATGCTCAGAAAGGGAAGGAAAATCTCAAGGTAGCTCCCTGGATGGTCAGTGTGATTGCCATGGTAACGGTCACCATGATCACCAAACAGAAACTGCCAAGAAATACATCAGAAAGTTTACCCCAGGGGACTTTTAACATGTTTGATCAACACAATTAATCAATAGAAAATTAACAAATTTGTCAATAATATAAACCTCCATTAACTATTAAAGTCTGGTTCTGATAAGGCCTACAAATATGAATAAAAAGATGGTAATGAAAAACAGGATAAATAGAAACCTCTGAGGAAAAGAGAATAACTTGGTAGAAATACGGCTATCACTTCAGCAATTTGGTCACAGCTGAAGAACTTACAATGACAAGGTTTGGTTGAGACTTCATCAGCTCTGTCAAAAGACGGACCAAGCTATCATCAATCTGAGTAGCTGAGTCAGGTTCTGGTCTGAGAGGACAAGCCAAAAAAAAAAGACACAATGTACTCTCTGCCGGTATGACCATGGTATTTACAAAGTTGGACTTTACCAATGTTGACCCTTGGAGATCATGTGTTCAAGATTTGTGAGACATTTCTCATGCCTTGTAACCTTTTTGAAACTGTCAGAGAGCAACATTTGCTATATTAAGATCTGACCGTGGCCCATGGCTGCTCGAGGGCTCCTCACACACTCAATCTCCATGGACGAGTTGGAGTCTCTGTGTGTGTCAAAACACAATGGCAATTTACTCAAGCATGAGATGAGTATAGATGTCATCCGCTACTGCAAACAGAACTCACAACAACATGTTCCATCGTCTTTCATGCAGAGTAAATGCCTCTATCAAGCTTACACCTCATCCGATATCAAGTGCTTCACTATGTCAAAACTCAACTGAAGTTTCCGGGTCAAAGTCCAACTATGGTAAACTTTTGCGTGTTGTTCTTTTTCACCTGCTGTGAGACAGCACAGGCATGACGTGATGTCGGTAAAGCAGAAATGGCTGAAGTTGACACCAGAAATGCCAATTAGAAACTTCTAAAACATTTCACGACAGAAAAAGTTAGAGTTAGGAAATAATTAGTTTGCTTGTAAATGAAAGCATTACCTGTGTTTGGCATTGACGTCAAAGGCTGCCCATTTAGCAGAGTAGTCCGAATTCAAGAAATCCTGTGTGTAGTTCATGATGTGTTCATGAATGAAGGTATCACCATCACACAGCCCTGCCAGAACACCTGGACGAATCTAGGTCAGAGGTCAAACCATAATTGATCAGTGACATTTATCACCCGGCATATACACCCCAGCGAGAACAACACGACAAACCTGAGGTTAAAATTGAGCTTAAACCATGTGTAAACACTGAATCACCATCACACAGCCCTGCCTGAACCTGAAAGGTCACAGGCCTGACCATAGTTGATAATTGACAATGTATCACATCACACAGCACAGACAGCATGCCTGGATGGAACTGGAAGTTCAAAGTTAACCAATTTCACATAACAGTGCTCATTCTATCAACTGCATCTAAAGTTCATTTGACTTTGATACTACATAGTGATCATGAAATCATATGATCCACTCGACGGTTTGGGAAATAACCTACATGTATCAGTCGCCATCTTTGTTAATGTCTCTCTACTGCTAAACTTCAAGCCAATTTAATGTTCCAAGTCAGGAAGTGCGCTCAACACTCAGCCAATCTGTCCAAATTGATCAACAAGCAGTCAACTTGTTTGGAGGTTGATTTCACTACATAAAAGGTAAAATTTTTGATAGAGAACAAATCTTCCATCATGTGCATGTATGCAAATCAGAATGTTCTACTCAAGTGAAAAAAAATAGTTCTATTTCTGATTACACATGTCTCACATCAGAAAACAGACCGATTTATTGTGCACCCACAACTCAATCCTAATTTGCCTAACCAAAAAACTTCTCCCCTTAAGATGGCACAGGACTGCCGATGTATATATACTCTCCAAGATGAAAGAAATGTTCCTGCAATACCTACAAATTACTTTCTTATTTCATTTTGGCTGACACACAGGTCTTGGGAATTTTATCAAAGTGAATGAAAACCATGGCAACTAGTGCTACAGCTGAGGTTCTTGAGCAGATTGGTGAGCGTCATCTAAAATGTTCCATCTGCTTCGACCGATTCAATGAACCAAAACTACTGAACTGCATTCACAGTTTTTGCTTAAAGTGTCTGAAAAATCTTAGAGAAATCCAACCTATGGGAACAGTGAAAATCAAATGTCCTCTGTGCAGACGTTACACTGAACTGGAAAGAAATAAGGTTGACGACCTTCCAACTAACATCACACTGAGTGCCCTGGTTGAGGAGTTTGCAATACACGAACAGCTTCTAAAAAGTCAAGGGTCAGAGATCAATTGTCAAAGCTGTGAGGAGAAAAATCAAGCAATTTTATTTTGCACAGACTGTACTTGTTTTCTGTGCAAAGACTGCCAAAAAGTACATGAGCGCCTGCCAGGGTCAAAATCTCACAAAATCTACACAATGGCTCAGCTTCAATCAGGAGAGATTGCCTACAAAAGCAAACTAAGAGAAGAACCAAAATGTGACAAACATCCTGATCAGAATCTGAACATTTATTGCAACACATGTGAGCAGTTGATATGCACAACTTGCTCCGTTCTGAAACATCAAAAGCATTCCTGTGCTGACATAACTGAGGCTTTTGATAAATGCAAACAAGAAATTGAAGGACTGATGGCAAAGGCTGAAAAAAAGAAGAAAGAGCGGAAAAAAGCAAAGGAAGACACAGCCGAGTCCCGCAAGAAACTAGACACCATGTTTGAAGCCACCAACAAGAAGATCTCCCAAAAGGCTGACAAGGAGGTTGCTAGGATCCGAGAGATGGAGCAGAAACTGAAGCAAGAGGCCAAGGAGATCTACCAAGACAGAGTCAAGACATTGGAGACTGCTGAAGACGCCAACAATGCACAACTGAAAGTAGCACAGAAGACACTGGATGAGGTGAACCAGCTTCTGGCTCAAGAAATCAAGACGGAGATTTTACTTCTGAAACAGAAATTCCTGCACTCCATCACTGAACTAACAGAACAAGAGCCACAAACAGTGCCAGAGAAGTTGCACTTTATTGACTTTCTAGCATACGGTGAGACTGAGAAGACACTTGGAAGGCTAATTTTGGAAGACGAATGGAGACTGGAGAGAGAAATGGTACTGTCTAGGTCTGCAAAACGTAGAATTATTTCTGTTGCAGTTTTCTCGAATAACGAAATAGTATCAGTGGACATGGAACGCAAATCTGACTTTCCCAAATGGTTGGTAATTTATTCGCTCACTAGAACTCTGAAACCCCCTTTTTTATCCACCAAACTAGTAATTCCACATATCCAAGATTTATGCCACATTGCAGTCAACAGGCTAGACCACCTCATTGTCCTAGATGGTCGTGTAGTCAAGACCTTCAGCAGAGAATATCGGCTCCTCCATCAGTTCCAGCCAGGAACTGATTCAGGCCGCAAACCAACCTGCCTGGCAGTGGATGATGACAATCTGATAGCTGTGGGCTACAAGGCCAAGGGAGAGATCAGCCTCCACAACCCAGATGGAACCCTCATCAGGAGACTACCAGCACCAATGATTGATGATCAACTGGCCATGAGCAACAAGAGGCTCATCTACATAAACCAAGTGAAGGGGAAATTGATATGTACAGATTATCTCAGTAAAAAAGTATTCAACATAGACATTAACTTGCCAGTGAGTGTATGCTGTGATAGTCAAGGCACCATCTTTGTTTCTACGGAATCACCAGCAGATATTCACGTCTTTAGTAGCAATGGTTACCACACTGGATATGTCATTGAAGCAAGCAAGCAATATGCAGATAGTATGGCAGTTACACCAAGAGGTGATCTGGTGGTAGGTGGATGGGGACTCTTGCAAATCCATAGTCTCACATGAGCATTAAATTGAAACAATCTTGTGATTGTCCACAGTCACAGTCTTCAACAACATACTTTTTCCATAAGATGACAATTTTATGATCCTAATGACGAAGAATACATGAAAATGAATGAGTGTTTGTAATGGAATTATGGAAAAAGAATTGTACATGTGCACTGCCAAATGGTTTTACATTTAAGGAGTCGTTTTGCTTCCACCTGTACTGCACTTGTTTGCCTTCAAGTGAAATTTTTTACAATGAGTATATTTTCAGATTTGCACTGTGTGAAGTTATCCTGACATTAAATATTTAAAACATGATTAAATCCAGGGTACCAAGCTTGTACTGGTGAATTTACCAAAGAGAAAAGAAATGGGCTCCATGGACTTCATTCCTGAATAGAAATATTTGATGAGCTTACAAAATTTGTGATGAAGCTTTCTTTATAAAAGAAAATGAAATGGCTTTTTGAATTATATTTGAATTACTAATTGGTACCCTTTTTCAAGGTAAGTTAAAAATTTAACCCTTAACAAAGAAAACATGTATGTCATTTCCCAAAGGGAAAAATTATGGTTACTGTTACACATTTGTGTAGCTCTTGAACCGATGAATGAGTGATGTGATAATATCACAGAAACAAAAGAGACTGTATTATGAAAAGTCTTTAAATATTTTGGGATAAAAAACAACGCGTTATTTATCTGGGGCCTGAGTCTTTGGCATTCCAGTATGAACTTGAATGCTCCAACATGTAGTTGTGTTAGAACAATTAGTGTTTGAGATTTAAATGTATGGCAGAACAAAACAGATGTACTTGGTTTCGAGGATAGGGACTGTTCAATATACTTAACATTTTGTACGGGAGCGACAACTCTACAAATGAGACAGTGTCTTTCAGTTTACTTGACCCAAAAGTAGCTGTACTTGAAGAGATTTTGTGTGGATTTTAGAGGATTTTTGTTCTTGCATACAGTGTATTTTCAACCAAATGTTCAAATTGTATTGCATTCTTTGATGCAGAATGCAGACTGATTGTCGAATGGATCTGCGTGAGTGGAGGGTGGACCCATATCAAACTCTGGCTTGGCCACTTGGAATGACTTGTCAATTGAGATATGGACAAAGGATGTATAATATTTCCTCAATGGAAAAATCATGGAAGTTCTAAATAGGAAAATGAATGCTTCTGATGGAATTAAAGAAAAACTATAAATATGCTTAGCCAAACTGTTTGGTATTTAAGGAGTCACTTAACTTCTACCTGTACTGCACTGGTTGGCTTGTAAGTAGAAATTTTTATGATGACTGAAGTTTCATAATTACCCTGTCTGAGGTTATTCCAGACATTGACCACACTGTACTGGCCAATATACTCCAGACAGCCTACAGAAATGTATTTGTGTCCATCAAAGAGACCAATGGAAAAATGATTATGTGTCTCCAATCTGCTTGTACATATCGTAACAAAAATTAACTGTGCTTAATTTTGTGAGTTTTTGTGCACCATAGATTGATACAAATTGCACTCCATACCATTTGACTAAGTTTTTAACTTTGGGCTGTACTATTGCTGCTTCAGTTCCAAGAACTGGAACGGTCCAAGTGGGCGTGGTGGAATCAAGTACTTGTTTAATATGTTACATGTAAATCCACCATTGTTGAAATGATCCTTGCTCTTACACCCTCTGCAGCCTAACGACTGAAGAGCAAAAACGTCAATGGTCCGTCGTTATTAAATCAAGATTCTTGGGACTTTATATGTTATATCTGGGGAACATTTTGAGGCTGGGATGTTCCCCTTCATCTTTTTGTTCTGCTGGACTTGGGTCACCCCATTCCAGCCATTCCTTTTCGCTGTAGATTCATACATTCCTGTGCATGTGGCCAGGGTATTTCTTTCCTTTTACAGGACTGTTTCAGGGGGAGGGCATCACCCGCATTGGGGCTGGGGTTTGAACTGTAAACTGGCCGACATGTGGAGGAACATATGGGTCGTCTTTCATTGATTCATCTACACCAACGAATCGCCTGGGACATTGGTATCCACAGATTACAATGGTAAAACAGTATTCAACACAGAGACTAACATTCCCCGGAGTGTATACTGTGACTGTCGAGGCAAAATCTTTGTTGCAACTTTGCACTCAGGAGATACATGTATTTATGTCTTTTGTATGGATGGAAACCACACTGGCAGAGTCATTTACCAACGTGAGCAGCCTGTAGATAGCATGGCGGTCACACCAAGAGGCGATCTGGTGGTAGCTAGAATGAGTATCTTAAACATTTATAGTCATAAGTGAGCATTAATTTAAAGTCTCCAAAACTGTAATGTTTTCCATAAAACGGGCCAATTTAGCCATCATAATGGAATATAATCACGATATCCCTCCAATCTGTTTGTACATAATGCCTGGTGGCCGTAATGAGTTATGTTAACTAAACAAACTGTAGCAAATAAATCACTGATGACGATCAAAAAACAGGCCAGGCACCAAAACAACCATCATTTTAAGCTGTTCAACTCACAAAAAGAAGTTTTCATTTGGATGTGATGATGTTAATATTGTACAGAGGCTGTAAAGGGTTTTTTTATGTTTATCACACAGATTACACATGAATCATTGTATTTTGCAAAATAAATCAGGCCAAACTTTTTAATTCAAGTCATTTATAAAAAGAACTTTGAACTTGGAAATTAAAGAAAAAATAAACTGTACTGAACAGAAAATGTTCTACAGATGGAGTAAAAAAAAGCTTAATAGAGTTTTCAGTGAAGTGACTCGGCATAAAGGGTTACAAATAAAGTCCACTGTTTATCATCACAGAAAATGTAAAACTTCTGGTTTACTATAAAATGGAAACAACTGAATTTAACCCAAAGACAAAAATACCAAGGGCCAAATTAGCAATATGTCGTTGAACATTCTGGAATTAACAAAATGTCTTTTGTCATGGCTTTTTTTTTTGGCATTCTAATATGAACTGCACCAACTCCACAGTCAGGTTTAACCTAAAATAATGGAAATTATTGGGTCGCAAAGATTTAACTGGTTCAATTCATTCAAACCGCTTTTGTTACTTCAGAATTTAAGATCAGTGTATCTTTGTAGAAAAGAAAAAAGGCTTTCTTAATAGCTTAACTTTGCTGTACATGAAAAGCATTTTAGCCACAGTGTAGAACTATGCTTACATTTTGTAAACATTTATGTCTATGGCAATAGAGCATTTTGCTGCATTTCTGTTATGAAATCTCTAGTATTGGGTGGGTCTGAATGTGTGTAGAATAAGCCAGTTCGGTATTCCAACAGCGCATGCCCAGTGCAAGGCTATTTGGGAACAGGTACACACGCACGATAGCCTGTCCTATGGGTACAGTTTTGTTCCCAAAAGACCTTGGCTTTTTGAAACACTGTACTGGTTCATTGGAACGATTGAAAAAGGTGACTTTTCATTTTCGTATTCTTTTATTGTTTCAACCATGTACTGACGAGTATTTTCTGATCAAAATATGCAGCCAATGTAATCATATGGATGTTATAAACTTGTACATGTATACATTGTATCTGACTTTGGATTAAATGGGAAAACCGTTTTAACCCATAAATACAAGCGAACAAGATGTGTTTTGAAGAAACTACAGTGCATCTGTTTGAACGTGCAAAATGACGGACCAAATGAGTGGTCCACTTGAATTATTTGTGGGTGCTCTTTGTCAAACAAATCAGGAGAAACATGGAGGCCCCTGTCTTCGATTATCTCTTTTAAATTTCTGCCAATAAATTGCATAAAAAATGTAACCTTCCATATTCCATTTCAACAATACTTTGTGAGGACAACGGTGGATATTTTAGGGAAAAGCAAGTGCCCAATCTGGATGTGAAATTAAAAAAATCCCTAGGGAGCATAACATTTGCTCAGGAATTTGAATGAAAATTTAGTCCTTGAAGAAATCTGACCTCATAAGAAACTGGAAAAAAGACAATCCACTCCTCCTGCTTTAAAAAAGTGAAAAAAATTGGAAGTGGGGACTTAAGAACAGTACCTGTTTGTTTTCTTGCTTGACCCATCCGTCCTCCCAATGAGGCAATGACCCTGGTCTGTTAGTACATGTCTGTTAAAAACACAACACGTTAACAACAAATAAAGTACAATGTCGGTCATACTTATACGGACAGCATTACTGAAAACAAATTGTAATGGTATAAAGTTGTTAAATGATATGCATGTAATATGTTAATGATAAAAATAAATATTGGAATTGGCAATTTTGCTTTTCAGTTTTTACTATGAAATACCGCAATGTTAACAGTGCCTAGAGCAAAGATCAATACCCTACCCAAAGTAAACTCTATCCGTTTGGTAAAGTGTGATTTCGCTTAAAACTTAAACCTACTACAAATAGAGAGACATGGGACCATGGAACCCGGAAGGTAATGAATTTCACTGCAAATGTTTTGTGACATCAAATTGACAAATTCCCTCCGCTTTTAAATTCACTTGAAATACAAAAACCTTGTGCGTCAAATCGTACTGCCAAGGTGAGACATTGTTGAAATACAGGATTTTTTCTTTACAGTGAAGATGGCCAATGTCATGTCGAGGTGTTTACCTTGATGGACTTGCCTCATGTGTGATGACATGATGGTTGGATGAAATGAAGCTGACAATCTACAAAGTATTACAAATGAATGACAACCATGAATACGATGAAACAGGATGAAATCATGACATGTACACAGAACAAGTTAGAGTGGGTGCCTGCTATTGGCTTTGTGCCTGAACAAAAGAGGGCGCTATAAGCAGTCTAGCAAGGAGGGTGCAGCCATGTCTGTATCAGCAGGCTGTGGCTAGAGTTGTGCTGCTAAAGTTGCTAAAAGACGTGTGTTTGGGGGTTCTGTCAAGGCAATACATGGGTGAGGACAGGTCTAGAACCAAACTTAAGGGGGGGGTTGAGGAGGTCCAAACTTGTTTTGGGGGAGCCAAAGATTTTGGAACTTTTTTGTGTAACCTTTTATGGCTCATTTACATTTGAGGGGCTTTTTCCACTTGAAGGAACGAAAGAGAAATAGACCGATGAGATTTGCCTTTCTCTCATTTATTTTCTCCCCAAAATGGTGGAGGTTCCCATTGTACCCTTACCCCTCAAATCTGCCCTTGACCTGGAGAAGCAAGATATTTACCTGCAATGAGAACAAAGTAAACTGGTATCCAGTCCCCCATTTACATTCTGGACTGAAAGAGGTGAAACTATTCTACAGGGGAAACCCATTGCTTTGCCAGTTCCCTTCTTCCTTGGTAATATGTGTGCACTTAACATATCCAGGGTACCAGGCAAACTCAACCAAGTGGCCAAATTGGTTGTTGCTCAAGCTTGCCTGATGTTGCCATCTCTCACTGAGGCGGCTCAGAAGGATTTCTTGTTTGTGTTACGATACAAACCTTGCACACAGTCCGTGTACCGAATAATCCATTGCCCGTGTCTACCCCGTAACTCGTCAGGAAGCCAAGACTATTAGCATAGTCCCAAATCCATTCCTTGATTTTAAGAGGGTATCTTGAAAAGAAAATGTACACTGGAAATAAAGTTACTCACACATTGGTATAGAGCGTTTGCACTTCATGTTTTTCAATGGTTCCTTGCTGTGTTAAAGAACCGTTACCAAGTACCAGCTGCAAAAGGGTCTATTGACAACACGCACATTGGTGAACTTATTAAACTTAAAAGGTCATGACTTCAAATGTTACCGTCATATTTATCATAATCATCGTCGTCACTCTTGCCTACCTGTGTAGCAATACCCTTCTTTCTTCGTCACTTCTCCGTAAATACTTGCCTGTTAGAGACAAAATTTGAAATCCCTGTTAAAGGCTAAATTTCAGAGTTGAATGATTAGGAAATTGATTTAGAATGTTAAGTATCTGGACACAAATCGTTGGCTGGAGTACAATTCCTTAGTCTGCCTCAGATCAAAGGTGATGAATCACTTGGCTATTGCTGGAATTTACACATGACTTAATGAGAACTGGCTGCGGCCACTGCCATAGACTCGTGCGTAATTTCCAGCCGTAGCCAAGTGAGTCGGACACAGCCTCAGCAAGGCCTATGCCTTTCTATTGCCACCACAGCTCCCTAGCTACTGAAACCAACCAAACAAGGGCGGATCCAGAACTAATTTCGGGGGGAGGGGAAAACTTTAGGGGGAGATGAAAAAAGTGGAAATGCTTTTAATGTAACCATTTTGGCCTCTGAGGGTTGAGGCCATAGCTTGGGGCTCTATGCATCCTTTACGAAGGGAACAAAACCAAAAAATCACCTTTCTCTCTATGTATACCAAAAAATTTGGGGAGGTATTTTTTGTGGGTGGGGGGTGGCAATTGTCCACATTGGCCCCCCTCCCGGGATCAACTCTTGAAAACTTAGACACACTAAATGTATGTCCATTGTCGTAAACTGGTTACCCTGCAGAAAGGAACACTTCAAGGTTTTTAATGTTGGGGAAAGATTTTCAACTAAAAAGGTTCAGCCTTAAGTCAAATCTAAGTCCAAAATCCCTTTTTACGAAGGCTCTTTCCCTAAAGCCACATTTTGATTGATTTACCGGCATATAATGGTGTGAGGTTCATGGCCGTGACACCCCCCACGGAGTTGAGACGATTGAAGAGAAAGGCCTGATGGGAAGACACTTGGTGAGTTGATCGGTTATTTCTAACACCCTTATCTGTGTACGACAGGAGAAAACAAAGGTTAGTCAGCCATTAGTGAACCAAACCCTTGAATAGGTCTCGGTAGGTCAGTGTACTGGTTGAAGAGGGTGTTGTGTGACAAATTTTGAACTGAATGTGCACAAAAGCTGATGCAGCTTTGGGTGAGAGGAACACATCTAAGCACTGGCACTAGACAACAATAGCCTCTGCTCAGGGTCATGTTATGTATGTGCATGTTCACTGAAAACAGCCCAATTGTGGCCTAGCACTTTTTAACAAGATAAGCTTCATTTTGTCATCCATTCAGAATTCCCAAAGTATTGTGGTCTGGAGATGGAGCCTAATGGGAAGCAGGCTGCCACTTGTTGCTGTTTTCATTTACCTGGCATGTGAGAGTAATACAGATCTCTAATAAGCTGAGCTGTCTTGGGCAATCCACAGGGTCGATGGAAATGTGGCCTTGACATGGAGTCTAGGTTGATGGACAGTATGGAAAGAGGCTGCCAATCAGCGGAGGATGCAGTCTGGACGCGAAGGCAAAAATTGGAAAATTAACAAATTACGAGTGAAATACGTACCCACAAAGAACCAAAATGATAAAAATGCAATTACACTTCCATGTGACACTCCATTCAGAGGGTTGTTTCAATTAAAATGGCTCTAAGCCATGTACTTACCAGTTTTTCAAATTTTTTCATTTGCTCTCTCTTAGCGGTGACGTTTGGGATGAACTGTGTCCTGTAGTTATGCTGGTCAACGACACTGAAGAAGAAATATGAAACTGAGTCACTTTAGTTTTCTTCAGAGAAATCAGACACGACAGGATCTGATATTGGAACAGTGGAGGCCAGGGTGTGATTCATGTATGAGGGACAAATCAAGGCATGTGACTCAAATACAGATTTGCATGCTAACAGTGTATACTGCATCCGATTTTCCGATTTTCATTGGAATGTGCACAACCCTGAAGCATTTCAGCATAAGACAAATTTACTGAAGTGAGGGCTCAAATACACAAACCACAGACATACATGTAGTAAGGCCGCATTGAGAGTGATAACCTGCATGCTAAAATTTCTCCGAAGGTGCACTTGAAAACATTCGATGGAATGTGCACAAAACTACAGAGCAAAGCAGCTTACCAGTAAACGTCAAGGGACAAAAAATAGCAGAGTGCCAGTCACAAGCGATATGAACCACTGGCACAAGAACAGTTTTTAAAGTTGGGGGGTCAGTTTTTTTACCATCACCCATTAATAGGTTGATCCATTGAGCCCCACCTCATTTTAGGACATGCAAAAAGTAGGGGGACAGGTCCCTCAGTCAAAAAGTGGGGGGGGGGGGCTACTGGCTCTCCCACTTCAACCACCAGTGATTATAAACCCTCTCCCATTAAGATCTTGGGTAGTAACCTATTGCGGCTTAACGAATATTTTCTTTTGGCTTAGTGGGCTAAGTCCAAATCATTTGGCTGTGGCTTAACATTACACAGACCTCTCTGGTAGTGGTCATAGCCACATGCCATAGAAACCTGTGTAATTTCAAGCCACAGAAAAATAATTCTGGTACGGCTAAAGTTTAGAACAGTGAGTCATATGGGAGTCAGGTACAATATTTGTAACTGAAAGTGCTTACTCATCTCCAACTCTTTTTGGACACACAACGTCTGCATACTGTGATGGAAAAGGCACTATTGTGGGTCCCTGGTAGGTGTGCCACACTCGATCCGGTATAAATTGATGGTTTGGAAGTCTGGTCTCGCTCTCTTCTCTCGAGACAAAGTTAATGCGGAATTCTCCCGGGCAAGATACCTGTAGGGTTCTGGATGAAAATGTGCAATGAACAAAATAAAACAAAGTGTGCAACTTCAACGCAATTAACACCAGACAATTTCTTTAGGAATTTCATACATTGAAAAAATTGCCTGGCTGAATTTTAACTCAAAGCGGGTGAAAACTGCAGCCACCCCAAAATTGGCACTTTTACCCCTTGACGGCGGGAATTTCTTTCCGAAAGCTGACTCCAAGAATTCCAGCCTCGCTTGGCCACGAAGGCCACCTGCCAAACCGCAAATTCTCAGTTTGTGGCCCTGCATGCTCTGCACGCTTTGAATTACACGGTGAAAAGGCTGATTGTTCGGTGGCATGCGGCTCTACTCACGCTTCCACATTCCCTTTGCGTCTTTTCAAAGTGGGGACTATTGTGAAGCTGGTGATTATGATGCAAATTAGGTCTTTTCATTTTTGAGCTACACACAAAGGCCAATTACCATATATATACAAGAGCCAGGGTCTGCCTTCTTTCACCATGCTCGCTTGAGCGTGGGCCGAGAATAATAGCTGAAAAGCAGGCTGAGGATCTCAATTTTTACAGAGATTCTAGCCACGTCCCTGAGCAAAGGAGTCAACCAAATTGTTGGGATCATGTGCAGGCTAAATGGATTCTGTGGACAGACTAGGTTGGGTTGGGCTGGGTTGGGTTTGGGATGGGTTGGGTTGGGTTTGGGATGGGTTGGTTGGGTTGGGTTTGGGATGGGTTGGTTGGGTTGGGCTGGGTTGGGGCTGGGGCTGGGCTGGACAGGGCAGGGCTGGGTTGGGTTATTTTATTTTCCCCTTGAAATCTCAGTCTAGTTTAGTGCTGTTACCTGTTAACTCTGTCATGCTGAACAAATGTTGGATGGAGACTACATTCCCACTCGGTATGTCCACACATATCAGGCGGTTTGACTGGAGGTAAATAGCACAGGCTATCACTGACTGGATCTATCTGATCAGAGAATAAACTGGGTTCTAACAACTCCAACAAGTCCGCTCGTGATTCTGGGCTCCATGGTCGCTGAAGTAGTGACAACTTGGCTTGGATGGACGGGTCATCTGAACAACAGATACAGTCCACAATTACATTTGTTGTGACACGCTCCTGTAACAGGTGCAGTGCCTCCCGAACTAATAGGATGACTTTCTAAAGGAGCTTCAAGGCTTCAAAGAAACAATACTTCATAACACCTCATCTCATCATATCAAACTGAAGATAAGAAAAATATTGACTTCAGGCCTAACATGTACATTGTCGGAGGGTGAATTATTATAATAAAAGATGAGAGTTCCATATAACAACATCACTAACTTTCTCAGAGAGTGGTTGATGAGACATCAAGATGTGCTATGCTAACGATGCCCTAAAACTTTTGAAGTTGGAGTAATTTTAGAATACCCCGCCACTCTAAAAAACAACCCCTTGGAATAACTGATAATGTGGGTACAAGGTGGAAATCCCTTGAGAAAAGTGTGACACTTTGACCTATACCTGGCTATGAGGTTGATCATGCGGGGTGGCTTAATTGAGCTAAAAAGTCAAATTTATCCGGGAAAATATTGAAGATTTTACTTTAAAAAAAATTAGATTTTTTTTAAACCTTTATTCAAGGTTTTTGCTACTTGCAAAATCACAGCCTATAATAACAGCCAAGAAATCAAGATAAAGGAACCTTGAATGGAAGGATCAATCCTTTCAGTGGCATTTTTAACTGGCTGTTGTCTGATTCCTCCGGGCTTTCTGTTGATCGGTCTTCGAAACGGCCGTCTGCCGGGCCTGCGGTGGTCTCTTCCCCGTGCATCGTCCCACTGAACACGCCGTGCTTGCTCCGCTTCAATCTCTCCGTGCCGGAGTCTCGCTACGAATACCCAATCATGCCAGTTGGCCACGCTCACGTTGGGGATAAACAACACCAAGAAAAGTTGCAACAGGAATAGAAAAAGGATGATGAGCAATCCAGAAATTAAGTATTTTCTCCATCGTCTGCGCTTCATGTGTCGAAACAGTGACTAACCAGTGATGAGGTCAGTTAACGTCCAGTTCAACCACCGCACGTTCGTTGATGTGACCACACACTTTCAAAGCCACTTTACGATTTATTCAAGCATTCAAATGTTACTGTTTTAGCAAAGACAAACGGCACGGAATCCAATCTTGTCGCAAAATATTTCAGCCCATCAGTTTCATGGTCATAGTTTTCAACTACTTTGGAATGATCTACAGCTTGAGGTAGAAAAAATGTAGTTTGATCGCCTTTCGTGACGAACCATGGATTAACAGATGGCATGAATCCCGGCAAAACCGAAACTTGTTTTCGTTTTCCCAGTTCGACTATAGGGGGCGTCCTCTAAGAAACCGGTTCGTGGCTCCTCTATCACGTGCTCCTTATTGTGGAGGGATAAGGACTTCTTACACGCTGTTGAAGTTTCTTCATCTCTGTTTTCTCTTCACCTATTGTAACAAAAGTCATTTTCACCTGTTTAAAATTCCTTTAATCGATTTGCTGACTGATATTTTTCTCAACTGCGGAGGGATTTCGCTAGTCTGGCAAAGTCAGATGTTACCCTTTTTCACTGTTTGCCGGCGTCTTTCTTCCTCGTGAGTGTTCAGGCTTTGAGTTAATCCATGTCACACAGACTCGCCAGGCTTTGGAAGGGTTAGCCCGTGGCAGCCTGAGATAAGGGTGGAGTGACTCCTGCCTGGTAGAGATTATCTGCATTTGAATTACTTACCTTTCCGCATTATAAAAGGAAGGGCACTCCCTTGCATTTCTTCGCATGGAAAAGTACTGGGCTCTCCATACTAGGTCCAGAGTACACACAACTAACAAAAGTAACACAATGAGTGTCATTGCACCCGTGCTTCTGTTGTTAGATGTTCATTGTGACATAAGCCTACATGTAAAGAATTTGCAGCTGGTACATGGCAGACGGGTGACATGTTTTATAATTTACTTTAAATTTCATGGCTCAACATGGAACATGTACTTTTGGATGATGGCGTAAGATTTGCTGTTTACATGCAAGTATGTAGCCTGTTCCCTATTTCAGGTGTGCCTATATAGTATGTATTTTCCTCACCTTTCTGCTTGTATAATTTCTGACTGGTTATGATATGTTAATGCCGGATCTCTTGATGAGTGGCAGCGGAAAGCAAAATGAGGATGGCAAATTTTTTTCACTTAAAAGGGTGACCAAGAGTCGAGTGTGCAATTCAGCCAAGAAAATCGATTCCAACCAATTTTGTTTGGAAATGTTATTGTTATCCTTTGAATCCATAGTGTGAAATAGTAATTAGCTCAGATGATCAAAGTATATTTCTGTGAATAAATGCCAGAGTCCAGTTTGGTGAGTGGCAATTATGAGTGACTCATTTTCTTTCCAAGTTGACATTTATTGTATGCCTGTTCCCTCAACTAGCAGATTCGTAGCAAGGAGGATTTCCCGAGCATCTGTTCTTACTGTCCTGATTTTGAGTTTAAATCAACATCCCATCCCACTAGTGTTGCTCTGTCCTTGTCACAGTTTTATTCTAACAAGTTTCCAGTCCAGTGTATTTGGTACTAAGTAACTTACTCTTTGACCACCAGGTTTTTCTTGACCACCGGCTTCTCTTTGACCATCAGATTCTCTTTGACCTCCAGCTAATATCAAGCCACCGACTACTCCAAAGCCCCAGCTACTCTCAGGCCACCAGCTGTACTCTCAAGCCACAAAGCTACTTTCAACTTGAACCGCCAGCTAGGCTCAAGTCACCAGCTAGTCCCAATTAAGCTACCAGGTTTTCTAAAGCCACCAGAGACTCTAAATTAAGCCACCGGCTACTCTCAATTAAGCCCCTAGCTGTACTCGTAGGCCACCGGCTACTAGCCACAAGCCGCCAGCTAGGCCCAAGTCACCAGTTAGTCTCAATTAAGCCACCAGCTTAAGTAAGCCACCAGTACTCTTAATCCACTAACTACTGCACCAACTAGTCTCAAGCCACCAACTACTTTAAAACCCCAGCCACTCTCAGGCCACCATGGAGCTACTCTCAAGCCACAATTAGCTACTTTCAAACCACCAACTGCTCTCAAGGCATAAGCTACTCTCAAGTGGAGCCGCCTACTAGGCTCAAGTCAACAGGTAGTCTCAAGCCAACAGCTAGTCTCAAGCCATTAACTACTCTAAATTCCCAGCTAGTCTCAAGCCAAACTGGCCAATCTCAAGCAACAGGTTACTCTCAAGCCTCCAGCTTGTCTCAAGCCCCCAGCTAGTCTCAAGTCAACAGCTATTCTCAAGCCCCCAGCTTTATCAAGTCCCCAGCC